AGGCCAGTGTCTGTGAACACCTTTGCAATTTGGGGTTCAGTCCCCTGAGGTGGCGTTAGCTCGCCCTGGGGTCTCTGGGGTCGGGGGTGGCATCCGGACCTCCATGCAGCACAGCCCCATGGGAGGCCTGTGCACAGAACACGTGTGAAGGGTGCCCCCGAGCCGTGGCGTGGGGCAGCCTGGCATTGCACCTGAGCAACCGGAACTGGTCCCCAGCCTCCCACCCCCTCCCCCTCCATTACCCTCCTATCGAAAACAGCAGGGTTCTTGGTTGTCGAAAGTTGGTACTGGGCAGTAAACTTGAACATTTCCTTCTCAGAGCCAGACCTCCCTTCAAATGCCACCCCACAGCAGGGGCACAAGGGACCCTGACTCAACCAGGAGCAGAAACATTGCAAACACACAGGTTAGGACCCAACAAGGGCGTCCTTGCTAATGCTCAGGGCCTCCTGGATGTGCAGAGTGGACCTAGCAATTCATGGTTGGTTTTCCAGTTCGGGTTCCTGGTACATTGAAAAGTAGGAGAAGATAGTAACGCAGGTTCACAGAAAAAAGTGATATGATTGAATCAGTTGCAACAGATGCATACTTCTACCCAGTGACCATGTATAGAACTCACGTAGAGACGAAATCCAAAGTCTGAACAGGAAGGCCTTCATGAATACTAGGACTGAGCCAAATTTCCCTCCTGTTCCACACTGTCATTCAAGAGTGAAGGATTTAACCCAGTAAGTAGTGGTGCCCCCATCGCTGGAGGCATGCAAGCAGAATGAATGCCGCAGAGGAGTATCGCCACATAGCCCTGAGGCTATTTAGGAAACAGGAACTGCAGGACCCTCCTGGCACCAAAGGTGTATTAGGTTCTAAACCTGGGGGTAGAGAGGTCCTTCCTGACTTGGCTGTGAGCAGGGAGAGGTCTGGGAGGCACTCCAGCTGGGTGGCAGCTCGGGGACGGGAAGGGGTTTGGTGCAGTTAATGAAACGCCGCATCTGAGGGTCAAAGACTGTATTTCACACTGGCCCGCGGGGCCAGGAGCTTGGCTTCTGGGAGTCTCAGTCTCCTCGTTTGCAGAATGGGAGTGATTGTCTCTGACTTGCGGGGCCTTAGATGCACACCCGGTGAGACAGCGTGTGAGCGGGGCCAGCTCTGTTCCAGGCGCACAGTCAGCATTCGTAAAAGCGGCGTAAGAGGAAAGAGGTGTAGAAGCTGTTTTTCCACTGCAGGTGCCTAACCAGCCCCTCACCATTCCTGAGCGTAATTCCCAAGGTCTCCTGAGCAAGAAAAACCGACACACGGAGTCACAAAACAGGTACGGCAGGGGGTGGGGTTGGGGGGCGCTGGGGAGGGGCACTCCCTCTTGTAGGCCCTCTCCCCTCCGACTCCGGAATCAGCACCCAACAGCTCCGTCCTCTCTGGACCCACGTGCCTGGCCTAGTCTGGCCGTGTTAGAGTCACAGGCTTGGGACCTCGGGACAAGAGTGGGCGAGTGACACCCCCCGGGACCGACGTATAACTTCCGAGCAGGTGTTGTCTGTAGGTCTAACTAACCCTGACCAGCCGATCAGGCACAGAGGCAGACATACAGTGCCTTTACGATGACAAACGCCATGTATGCCTCTCTTGCTACTTGCCGCGTACTTGCTATGTGACCTCGGGCAAGTCACTTCGCCTCTCTGAGCTTTAGACTCCTTATCCTTAAGCCAGAAGAAAGAATACTCATTCGGAGGGTGCTCGTCACAGTACGTTTGCATCGCGTGTGAAAAACAGAGGGCTGCCGGGTACACAGTCAGTTCTCAGCACACCCTCAGCTGTTGTGTGTCGGGCGCTGTGTCGTAAGTGCTTTGGCTGTATCGTTGTCAGAGCGGCCTCTCAGACACCCGTTATTATTATAATTCCTGCCCTGCAGACAGAGAAACGCAGTGCTGCCCTAGCCCACATCCAGAGTTCACGCTCCGATCACCTCACTCCACAGCCCACGCTCCCAGCCTCTGCCTATCCGGCCGGGCGAGAGAGCACCTCACTGTCCCATGCCACCTCACCATCGTCCTTAGGTAAGAGATAAGCCACCGCCACCAGGGTGCTGCCGACAACTCCGCAGCTCAGTGCCACATGTACCCTCGAGCAGAGACACGGGCCCTGGCATGTGGCTGCTGGGAATCCCCTGCAGCGAGCCCCGCACGAACTTGAAGAGAGACGCCCTGGTTTTGCTGCTGGGGAAGCAGTTTCTGGGGAGCAGCCTTGCCCTCGTCACCTGCAAGTTAGGGGCACAGCCCCCCGAGAGGGCCCTGTTCTCGTCCCCACCCGGCGCCCCTCTGCCTGGGGCCCCTCCAGCTCTGCCTCTCGGAGTTCCATTGCCCCAACTCCCCTCTCTGGTGACTGCGTTGTCCTGATGGTCAGGCTGCCGAGGCTGCCCCCACCAACCCACTCGTCAGTGCTCGACCGTCGGAAAATCCTGGTGATTCCGGAAGTCCCATCACTGTCGCCCCTGGCACAGGGCCCGTCCGTGTTTGGCTTTCTCATCCTGCGCTTCCTAATTCTATTTCTGGGGCTTAATTATGATTACACAGCTTCATTACGTAGAGTTGATTTGAAGTAATGGCCCCAATTAAGAGTGAATTTTAATTAAGCTTAATTCAGAGCCTGCCTTCCCCTGCCAAAGATTTGCAGCCCAGGAAGGGGAAAGCCTATCCAAATGCAAGACTTTGACCTTCATGAGGCTGGGCCATCTCGGCCAAATGCATTTGCTTGATTTCCTGGCCTCGGGAGTGCATTTCTTCACCAGGTTGCAGGGGGCTGTGAACCATGTGTCAGCTTCTAGCGGCCCCCCAGCTCCAGCCCCAGCAGCAAGCTCGGCGCCTCAGCAATAAGGGAGCAGCACACAGCCAACCTGCAAGGAAGGGAGCCTGCTCGTCCCCAGGCTCAGCCCAGGGATCAGAGTCTGTGCTGGCTTACTTCGTGGGTGACCATCAAGCACAGGGCCCGCCCTCTCACCCCTGGTTCTCCCGCTGCTCACAATACCCACTTTGGGGATGAAAACAACGAGGTGCCCGGGGGCCCAAGGCGCAGCTGGCGAGGGCCATGGGCGCACCGAAGATCCCATCTGTGAGTTCAGGGGAGCCCGCCTCCTACTGTTTCCCGCGGCACCACTTGGACGAGCACAGCCCAGACACAAGGGTTCACATGACGTGCAGGCGTGTGTGGACATACAGTCAGACGCGGTCATTTATTTAATGGCAAAAAGTGAAAAATTGTAAACCCTTTTGCCTTAAAATGAAATTTTTCCTCCTTTCCCTTAAAACTGCAAGCAATCAAATATCATCATAGAAACAACACAATGAAAAATAAAGCATTGTTATTAAATCCAGACCAGAAACCATAAGCTTCTAAAGTCCTGGTCTGTGTTCATTGAAAATAGAGAGAGAGGGAGAGAGAGGGAGAGGGAGAGAGAGAGAGAGAGAGAAGGAGAAGAAAAGAAAGGACAAGAACAACAACAAGAAGAACAAAAAGAAGAAGAAGTTTCAAGATTGAGCATCAAACTGAGACTTTGTCCTTGACAGAATCAGGATTGAAATACAGTTGGGAAGAAAATTAGTTGATCACTATGCAATTCAATGCTGTTTAAAGTCCCATCCAAATGCCACCAACACTCCTTCGTCCGCCCCTTCAGGAGACCCTGATCTAAGGCAATTTAGCACGTGGCTTCAGACCTTGCCCTTAGCCACTCCGTGGACGACAACATTCTGGCCAGAATTCTAGCTCTCCTCCTCCCCTAGCCCTGGGACCCGGGCAAGGCATGGACATTCCTTTGATGTTTCAAGTGAAATCAACTTGCTCTCCCGGGCTGGCTGGTGTGGTCGGTTCATGTGCGGAAAACAGAGCTGACAGCCCAGTCCTGAATGTCACGGCCGCACACCAGTCTCTTTGATGATATTGAAGTTCCCACCTTAGGAAATCCTCCACGGGGAAGCTACATTCTATAAACATTTTGATTTTTCTAGAGGGAAATGGAAAGTGAAAAATGAGATTCAATTGCCTTGAAAATACAAGGGCAATTTCCCTCACAAATGCCCTACTTAAAAGCTTCATTTGAAAACAGGCATTTAAATGAGGCCCAGGCCAGGTTAAGAAGAAATCATGTATTAATTCCCTTCCATCTACCCATTCCAACTGAGTGAATCTTCGGTAGATTAAAAAAAAAAAGATAAATGGGCTTGAAATACAATTAAATGAGCACTTTATGACTTTGATGATCAAGCCACAGAACTTCTCCATTAGAAGTTGCATATTTACAAGACCCATTTGCTTAACTTACCCAGTCTAACGACTCAAATGTTCTTAAATCTTTTTTATTGATTTAGAGAGAGAGAAACACCAATGTGCTGTTCCACTTATTTAGACACTCAGTGGTCGATGCTTGCATGTGCTCTGACTGAGGAATCGAACCCCCAACCTTGGCGTATCGGGTCAGCACTCTAACCAACTGAGCTCCCCAGCCAGGGCTAGACTCAGCTGTTCTTCCCAATGGAGCTGAAGCAGGGACTCTGCTCTTTTCCAAAGGATTTGGGATGAAATCACAACCAAACCTCCTGAGAGAGTCAACGACTCACAGGGACACCTGCTTACAAATGCTGCCCAGGACACTTCGACACCTAGGGACCCTCCCTAGACAAGAGGAAAAGAAGACAGCCTGGACTGCAACGGAAAGACATTATGGAAGTTTACATATGCCAGGCAACCGAACAGAGATAGTGACCCCCTCCACCCCCGAATAACCATTCATTCATTCTTTCTTGATATTTTCATGCCTGGCGTAGGCGTGATTTCGTCAACGCCGCTGATGGCTTCTCAGGGCAAACGCGGCGCCCTATTGCCTCCTTCCACAAATAACCACCGCCGGGACCAGACCGCCCAGGGGTTGGATTCCCACTCTGCAAATTACCAGCTGTGGAACTCGGGGCCTCGGTTCCCCCATCTGTACAATGGAGAACGGCGGCACCTACCTCGCAGGACCATCGTGAGGACTCAGTGAGAGAGGGCCCAGCTCAGCGCACGGCACAGAGGCAGCGCTTCGTGGACGGATGCTGAACGCTAAGCCTGGCCGAGGCCTGTGTCCTCCTTCCTCTCGGAGACCTACTGACTTGCCGGTTGGAGAAGATGCTCCTACACTCGGAAGTATTCAGAAGACGCCCAGGAAGGTGGTGAGAGGCCGAGCTCCTCCGCACGGCTCTGAGACGCCTCTCTGTCCCGGTTCAGGTCTCTGCCCACCATCCAGGCCACAGAGCCCCGGGCAGAACGGAAGCAGCCACAGACCACATTTCTCAGGACCTCACTGGCCGGTTGGGGCCGTGGGTAGCACATGGAAGAGGTGGGTGCTCAGGCCGGCTCCCGCTTGGAAATCCAGTTTGCGAAGCCATAGAAAATTCTCCCGGGCCTGGTGTGCACACGCCAAAAGCTGCACGCACACACATGTGTTTCTATGCAGCTCCCCAACACATCCTGTGCAGGCAGCTCTCCGGCCCTGTGATAACACGCACTGCTTCTCCCCAAGTGAGGCTTCATCGGCCTCAGCCTGGGCATTTATACCAAGCAATCAAATCCACGAAAGAGAGAAATGCAAATAGATTGCAGGATATAATATTATCATTGTCAACATAAAAGACTATTATTTACTGCGCCCCCTTAAAAGAAAACACACTGCAGTCATCTGTTTCGGGGAATGCAAAAGAGGTTTCAACAACTAACAGGGCATGTTTCTGAGCAAAATACGTCCCGCGTACGATGCCGGAACACACACTGTCAGCGGCCACTCGTGTGTCTGTGTTCTCGCAAACAAACCCATGGAGGCGAGTTAGAGAAGGTCACGTCCAGCCTCTGGGAGCCACAGGCCACCTACCTCTGTCCTCAAACAAAGCACACAGCATCGATTTATTTGGAGGGACAGGCCCTCAGAGGCACATGGTGTCCGAGGTGATGCTGGCTCTCCTCCCAAAGGCAGGTGTGGGCGAGAGCGAGTCCTCGGACGATGCCTGTTGATCTGGGCAGAGGGACGTCGCGAAGAGGAGAGGCAGCAGAGGAAAGGAGGAGGACAATGGCGTCCATCTTTTCTCTGTCGCCGCGGTGCCAGCCCCCACAGCCCTGCGTGGTGAAGGGCATTCCACCCACTCTTGCGTTGCCTAGGATTCTGGCAACCGGGAGACCGATTATTTTCATGGATGTGGTGGAACCGCAGATCTGTGATTTTAGTTGGGGAATGGCACGTCATATTCGACCTGATTACAGCGATGGTTTTGTTTCTGTCTGAGACAGATCCAACGTCATGAGGCTTTAGACAGAAAGAGTTCTCTGAATTGTATTTTGTGTAGGAAATATATATGCCAGCGGATTGTCCCAGCAGCCCTAGGAAATACGCGGGTACGATTATAGCCATTTTACGGGTGAGAAAACAGACACTCGACAGAGTGAAGTGCTTTCTCCACAGTCACCTGCTTGCGAGAGGGAGGGTCGAGAGAAAATCCGGGTCTTTCCGACCACAGAGCCCTCGAACCTGAACTCCCCGCCAACCTGCCTGAGCCCCATCAGGAAAGCCTGCACGTGGGCCCTGACGTGGGTAGGTCACTCCGTTCTCACTGGTGAGGAGGTCACTGGGGCTCCGAGTCACAGGTGAAGTCCCTGACGCACGAGAGTGGAGAAAGCAGCATTTTCTCCACTGCTTGCCCGAGTCGCACAGAGAGCACGTTCCCTGCGTGGGATTCGGTCCCCACGTCCTGACTCCGGGCCCGTGGGGTGCGAGACCAGAGCCGGAAGATGGAGCGGCTGTGCCTTTTCCAGACCCCTGCACGTCAGGGCCGCACGTGGGGTGAGTTTCACGAGTTTCAGCGGCCAAGTTGGTCACTTCATTTCACACCCACAGGTCCCTACCCTTTTTCACTCGCAGCGCATTTGGACAAGGAACGCCACTCGTGTTTGAGAAGAGGGTCGAGAGAGGAGCTCTTGGCAGTCCCCAGGGTTTTCTCATCCAGGGTGGGCTGGAGGGGTCGTGACAACTGACTTCCGTTAAAGAAGGAAAGTAGGAAATGTCATTTCTGCCCCCAGGAGCCAAACGTCATGATCCTCCTGACTCAGTCCTAGCCCGCTGATCCATCACAGAGCCCCTCTTGTGCTCCTATAGGTGCCCCCAGATCATGGCGGGGCCCAAGGTGTGGTGGGCTCTGTGGGTTCACCCTCCCCGGGCCCCATCCTCACAGGAGAGGATTCATTTCTTCAGGCAACAAATACCGGTGACCTGGGAAATGGTGACCCCCGTGCCATGGACTGCGGGTGGCCGGAGAGTAACAGTCATGTCCCCTAATAACTGGGGCTTATGTCCTGGTAGGGAAACAGGTAAGAACCAATGGTAAACAGATACATCGGACCGGCTTTCAGACAATGCCAGGCGTTAAGAAGACAATAAAACAGGGGTGGGATATTGACGGTGTGTGAGGACAACGTGAGAAGCGGAGGCCAGAGAAAGCGTTCCAGGAGAGGGGACCACGGAGCAGAGGCCTGGCCGCTGGGCAGGAGCCAGCCCTGGGGAGATCCGGGCACTCGGGCAGTGCCAGAGAGCCCTGGTTTGGGCAGTCGCCACATTCGAGTTTCCATGGAAGTCACGAAGATCCCCAGACTCTACTTTCCATCAAAAATGAGTCACGGTCACTCTCCCAGTGCCACCCTCCCCATACCCCAACCCTCCGCCACACCCACAGTGACAGTTTGTTTGACCAACAGAGGAAATATTTTTCCAAAATATACCTTGTGGAAAATCTCCCGAGGGCGGGGAGGTCCCCAGTTCCCCCAGCAAACAGCGGTCACCTCTGGGGATTCAGCTGCTATAAGAGCTTTGTTGTTGGAGTTCATTCCCACAGAGCCTCTGCCCGCCCTTTGAAAATTCTGCAACAAATGGGTTCTGGCAGGGGAAGTGGAGGCAGGAGGCTTTATTGCTGACGGAGGCTAGTCGGCGTTCCCAGGGGGGAAAGGCAGCTGGCGTTAACTGAACCCCTCTGTGCACTGCCTTTCAGTAGGTGCTTCAGCCCCAGGAGGGCATTAGTTACTCAGAGCCTCACTTTCACAGCCCAGGACACTGGATCTCTGAGAGGCAAAGCCTCTTGCTCAACCTCACACAGCAAGGAGGTGGCAGGGCCAGAGCTAATTATAGGGCCTGACTATATTAATCACTCATGTAGCACTAATTGCCTGTTAATTCCATTAACCGAATGTGCTGATCATTTACTAGGCTCCAGGTCAGATGCCTCGGGGCCGCACATGATGTCACTGCATTCTCTCCATAGATCGGCCCCATTCCTGTCCGCCAGAGGGGCACGCGGCGGCAGGGAAGCCACTGCCTCCGGGCACTCGGCTCCGGACTGACAACCTCGGGATTCAAACCCAAGGCCATCTGACGCCTCCTTTTGTGTTTGTGTTCCTCCAGGAGGAGGGAGGCTGGCGCCAACAGGGGAAAAAAGGAAAATACTCCTGTTTAGAAGAAAGAGAGAGAGAGACCAAGGAGATAGGGCAAGTCTATTGCAAAACCTGATCGGGAACCGGGATTCGCGGGGCGGGGGAGGTGCCGGGAAGGGCCTGCTGTGGTCACCTGACCCCGCTGGAATGTGGATGGCTGATTAGATAGTCCCGCCGTGCCATCTTGAACGTGCGGCGCTGGTGGCCCCGATCTGAGAGCGCAAGAGGGCACCTTCGCCTTTGGGAGAAACACGTGGTCAAGCGTGCAGAGGTAAAACGCCATGGCACGCACATTCTTCACGCGGTTCAGAAAAAACAAGCGCGTGGGTGCGTGCGCGCATGCGTGCGCGCGTGTGCACGTGCGCCTGTGTAGAGAGAGAAGGGAAAAGGCGAGAGAGGCAAAAATGTTAAGGTTATATGACTCCGATGGGTGTATTCACTCCCTTATAAGCGGAAGGTAGCTTCCACATAAGAAATTAGAAAGAAAGAGGGAGCGAGAGAACTGCCAGGTGTCATGAGGGGCTTCATTCCCCCGAGTCCCGCCCCCAGGACGGTTCGGCCCTTGTCTGTGTCCTAACCCTTTCCCTCTGCCTCCAATCCCACCACGACGAATCCATTCCTTCGGCGCCATGCCCAGTTTGAACGGCATCTACCTTTGAGAGCTCCGCGTCATGCAGATCCGAAGGGGACCCAGCTCGAAATGTCCGTTCGCATCCTCACTTGCTGGGCGCCCCATGCCGGGCGTGGCCGTGCAGCGCTTCCTCCGCCTTGTCTCAGCTAATCGGCCTGATGGCCCCAGCACCACAGAAGCTGGGTACCCTTACTACCCGCATAGGGACCCGGAAACCTGGCCACAGAGAGCGTGGCGCCGGGCCCCACGTACGTCAGCAAGTGAGTAACAAGGCCCAGGTTGGAACTGAGGCGTGTCGGAGCCCACAGCCCAAACTGCGCTTCTACAAAGACGCAACATTTTATACAAGTAAACGGTTTGCTGTGCCGGTAGGAGACTACACTACATACCGAATACCGTGCCAGCTTGCCTGCTTCCCAAGGGGCACACCCGACTTCCTAATCTCTACTCAGGGTCCCCACACTTAGGGGCTGGGACAGGTACCTCCTTCGCTGGAGAAGCATCTTTGGAAAGGTTTCGGTAAGGAATGGTTTTGCTGCCATAGGGCATCGGTTGGCTCCTGAGCACAGTGGGGAATTTAGGAAGCGATGGCACCTCCCCAGGTGCCAGAATTACCATCACCACGTGCTCTGACTTTCCCAGGGCCACCTCTTGTCAAAGGGCCAGTCCGCTGCCAGACCCCGCTCGGCCCAGGGGGGCTGGGAAAAGCTGATCTCTGGGGCTGACCGCTCCTTGGATCTTGCATTTCCCTGAAAGGGTCTGATTGGGTCCCACATTCGGGCAAACGCTCTTCCCTATGCCCAGAACACCCCTTCTCCTAAATCTAATGTCTCTTGCTAAACTCCGGTTTGTCCTTCTCGTCACAGGCTAGATACCACTTCCTGCAGGAAGCCTTCCCTGAATCCTAGGCTTGAACTGGTAACCCTCCTATGGGACCTCCAGGCACCCAGGTATTAGTTTTGGTTCGTTCCCTCTTAATCTCTTGTTAAAGGCCCATCTCTCTCCTCTCACGGGGTCGTTTTAGCCTCACGAAGCAGGGACTGTGTCTTATTCCCCGTTTATTGGCCGCAGGGTATGGAATAACGACATGGGACACTTGATCCCTGAATAGCTGCAGGAAGGACTAGAGAGTCATCTTAAAATGAACGTTCACGTGCCGTGGTGGGGGCTTTGCATCAAGCCCATGGTCCTGTAATGTGAGAGACAGCCTGAAACATTAACTCAGGCTGGTGAAGCAGACCCGGTTTTGAATGCCAGATTGGCAACACCGGGACTCTCAGCACGTGGCCACACTTCTCCACACTTCAGTTTCCTCATCTGGAAAATGCAGCTGGATGAGGGCTCTGACTCATGCTTTTGGTGTGAGCTTCCGACATTAGATCCATGGAGCTCTTGGCACCGTCTCCGACCCTGG